GCTAATGACAGGAGCTGTGCAAGTGCTCAGAGTACGGAGAAATTATATGACGCGCCCTGGGATACGCGACGCATTATAGCCGACCACGTGGTGACCGCTTTCATTCTATCGAATGTACCATCGCCGCAACAGTTGGTGGCTGCCGGTTGGCGGCTAATCTCGCGGAGTCAGGTCGGAAATCGTCGATACCTACATGTAATTTACACGTAAATCCTTCTCGGGCCGATTTGTATCCATTTTCTTCGCATCGGTCCGCTCGTTACACGTGAAAAATCGAACATTATTCTCTTCTCGCGGAACTCGTCTCGAAATCCATCGGTGTTCGATTTCTCCTGTCAAGTACTGAAATGAAATTTTCTTTCTCATGTAGAACGATGAGAACAGAGATCACGGATTTACTCGTTGTCCAACTTTGGAATGCGATTCTCGATGATTGATACTACTTAATTATGTAATTTTCTCTAACATTAATTCGTCGTTTCGTCCAAAAGGGTACAATCGGGATGACTGTCCGAAGAAATTATCATAATTGTGAATGATGGCAGTCGTCAAATCGAACACGTAGTGAAGGATAGTAGGATCGGTCGTCTGTATCAACGGTAGACGATATTCATTGAGCACCCGTCAACTATCTCGCACGATCGATCGGCAATACGAAACACCTTTACATCGAAAGTACATCGAGTTGTCGTCAAGTTGTCAATTTGTTTCGTTACGCTCGATTACCCTGTGCTCGCCAACGACTGCACACGATAGAGTAGTAATGTTGATTATGCGAGTATCGTGTGTACACGTTCCGTTACACCATTCGCGTTCGCCAACTGTATTATACGTATCCGAAAGCAGTCGATTTCCCGCTAATTACATGCCGAGATTATTAACAGGTTTATAGGCAATGAGTCCTGCTAACGTCTCGCGTCTTATCGAACACGTGATTAAAGACCTGCTGAAAATTCTTCGGTTGATTTTACGCTTTAATTAAATCGCGTATCCATTTAGATTTTACTGGACAAACTACTTACCGTGATTGATTCAAAGAGGAAAAGCATTTCGGTATTACCGAGTAGACTCAATGTGAACCTTTCAAACTTATTAACTCTTATTTCATTTTATTAGAATTCATTAAAAATACGCGTATGTCCTTTTTTTCATGTAGGTCGGTCATATTACAGTGGGTAGATCAAATTATTAGGTGACACAGTACAAAAAATATGTTTCCTTTCTGCCTGCGTGGAAATAAAATCACAATATCAAAGTTTTGACAGAGGACAATTTTTAATTAATTATTGTCCACTAGAAATACACGATAATATCAAGGTTTTTACGTTGGGTGATTTTTAATTAACAATTGTTCACTAGAAGTACACAAAAATATCAAGGTTTTGACACTGGATATTTTTTAATTAACAATTGTCCACTAAATAAACATAAAAAAGTTAAACTAAGCTTATGTGATTATAAAAAATACTACAGGTAGACTCGTAAAATCGTCCATTTATACAAGTGGCTCCAATAATTACATCACTAACTGTATATTACCATAATTTCACCTCGAATTGGAAGCACAATACTAAATGAAGATCATTAGATTAATAAAAATGGGCAAAGATTTTTTCCATAGTTTCGTGCAAATATCGAAATACGCAATGAAAACACGTGGTTTCCTGCTGTTTCGCGCCTACGGTTAATCCACGGTAATAATTAATTTCCGTTATTCCGAAATATGGATTATTTTCACTTACTTACAAATCGAATTTTACAGCACGTATATTTCATTTCGACCGAAAATATATATGTCATTATCGAATCCCTTCCTTCATTAATCAGAAACGGTATATTTTAAAGTGAAACCTGTTTCAATTTAATCGAAGGCTACGGTCCTTAATGGCCGAAAATCTTCCGCGCGCGCACAGAAATTCACAAGATATGCCTCGAGTCGTTGTCTCTCTTTTTTTTTTTCTTCTGTTTTTTTTTCTCTCTTCGTGTCACATCGTCGGGACGGCCTAAGGGGGTCGCGAGGATATTTTGAAGTCCGTTAATATGGGTCACTATTAGGTACGCGCTCATTATGCGAAATGCCTGGCTTCGGAATTACCACACCGGTAGAACCGTTATATGTATTTGGCACCACGCCACATCCTTCGGCGTGCCCGATTCATGGTTAGCCGATGGAACAAACGTATGTGTAAACAGACTGGCCGGTGATTTCTTTATTCAACCGGTGGCCGCCGCTAACATAAGCGCGAAAGAAACCGAACAGGTGTCGCGACTACTGTCCGTGACACGAATCGCAGAAAAACGGGGGAACAATAACTAATACACTGCGTTGGATATCTATAAGACCACCCTAAAATTATCAATCCTTATGTATTGTGGTTGGAATAAAAATGAACCACGTTTTTTTATAGGGAATATAATCAATATCCTTTTTTGTAGAATTATTATTGACATACAACATACTTGATTCGCTTTCATTTTAACCAGAATACATAAGAATTGAAAATTTTAAGGTGGTTATATAGTTATGCCATGTAGTGTACAGGGTGTAAGAAAAGTGTTGTACGTCCCTGAAATGGGTCACTCGTGAGGTGATTTGGAACAAGTTTCTCCTTAGCATAAATGTTATCCAAAGCTGTGTTAACGACATATTAACGAGAAATCCCGACCAATCAGAGCTCGGCCGGCAGACTCGCGCTATGATTGGTCGGGATTTTTCGTTAACAAAGCCTCGGAGAATATTTTTGCTAACGAAAAACTTGTTCCAAATCACATCACGAGTGACCCATTTCAGGGACTTACAACACTTTTGTTACACCCTTTATATGTTTAACAATCGGCTTGTAATTTTGCCACGCTAACGGAATTCGGTATAGATTACCTTATGAAGATCGTAATTACCTTCCACTCACGTACACGCGGGTCCCGAGAGGGGGGATCGGGCGGATGTATTAATTATACTCACGGCGTATGAACGATTCGTGTTACACTCGTAAATGGTACGAGAGCAACGTGATATTTTATCGCCGTGCTCGGTGTTCACGATGTAACCGACGTATAGAGGCGTGATTGTTTTCGTTCTCATAAAGATTTCGTGGATCGATCGAAAAACGGTAGCATACAACGGTCGATCTAAATCCCGTCCTCGTAGAGGTCGAATAGGTAGGCCCTCCGCGAATGTGTTGTTCGTGGCCTTTTAGAAATTCCCAGCGCGCCAGCGATCGAAATGGCGTACAAACACGGCCACTCAAATCCCAAATCGGTCATTTGTCGCACGTATCGTCTATTGTCCACGTATCCGTGAGGGAATCGAACAGAAAATCTATTGGCGGGGAGGACGATTTCAACGTCGGGGATCCGTGTAAGTGGATTCGGTGTATACGGAGACGTGTGTCCCGTGGTCCGATAGATGGGAACCTACTTGCCTACATTCGGTGCACCGTGTATGTGTGTGCACCTTGAACCTGCATAATACACACACACCGTATGAACCATATAGTGGGTCAAAAAAGTATTCGTACACCCTTTAGAACAGAACAACTTTTTTAAAATTGGTCCAAGTGACTTGAGTTTCTTTGTGAAGTTAGGAGGATTAGTTTACTAAATGTTGTGTTAAACAAATTTTGAAAAATTTGATACTTTTTAGAATGCCGAAGAAAATAGTAAATGTCGTTTTGTACAACTCTTTTGTTTGAGACTGTAATGAACATTTAATAAATACATTTCGAAGATTTATGTCAGTTATATACATGCCGCAACTTTGATTGAAATCGGTTAATACAGAAATGAGTAACAGGCATATATTAGAGTTGTAGGTCAAAAGTCCCGAAAAACTGCGATTTCCAACATTTTTAACCGTTTGTATCTCCCAACAATGTTAACCGATTTCGATAAATTTTCAGCATGCATATAACTAACACAAATCTAAGCAATATATTTGTTAAATTTTCATTACAATCTCAGATAAAAAAGTCGTAAAGAGCGACTTCTACTATTTTCTTCGCGATTCCGACCAATTGCGACTTTTTCAACATTTTCTTAACACATCACTTAGTACACTAATCCTTTTAACTTCCCAAAGAAATTCAAGTCACTTGGTCCAATTTTGAAACAGTTGTTTCGTTTTAAAGGGTGTATTAATACTTTTTTTACCCACTGCATTTACCTCGCACATTTTTTCTTCTTTGTGAGAATACCTCGTAAGTGTGTATAGAACGAACTGTTCGAGCGTGTCGTGGCCGGTAAGTTCTCGATTCTGTTAGAGAAAGTAAAGCACCACACGCGATCGTTTTGCATCCGTCTTGATAGTGAAACCTCATTTTGTTGTTTCTTTTTTTGCTCTCTGTAGCCATCGCGATAAAGCGTTCGTTGCGTGATCGATGGCGAAGGGTAGGAGAAATATCGGTGATTTTTCGAAGGGATACGATATCTGTTCGACGGGATTCAGTTCATACGTATAGACGTCGATCGTGGCAATCGAGTGTCATGAGTACAACGAGGTAACGGAGCGAAAACCCGGACATTCGGCAGGAATTTGGGACAGGTGGCCTAGTGGTCGCACGAGGCGAAGCGGATACGTTCAATGACGGACTTGTACGGTGCACAGTGTTTTCTAGTAATAATTTAACTACGATGTTGTTTCCTGTATTCTTTGGAATGTTGTAAAAAGATACACAGCCGAGAATTCGAAGCTGTTTTACGCGGTCCACAGGTTTATCGTTTGGTTTTTTTCATTGAATTACAGATTTCCATCGACCGACTGTCAATCCTTTTGCTGAAGGAGGTACTGGATAATTATATCGGTACGATTTTACTTCGATTGAAGTACACTTCGTCGCTTTGAAAGGGTTGGTTGGTTGAGCACGCAAGATTATTGTCGTAGGTATGTCTGGTCTTGTTTATTTTCAATAGAAATTGTGTTGGATTAATATTTTGGTTGAATGAAAATTTGTGAATCCTTTCAGCGGCACATTTTTGGGCTTCACCGTGGACGCTAATACGGTATGCGTTGGCGAATCTTCATTTTTGCCTGTCTCCTATTGAAGGGGGTAAGTAATTTTTTTATTTTGTTTATAGAACGTGTGGTGTGGCTTTAATAATGTTTGTGGAAACTAGTCCGATTTCGAAAAAATTTTCGTGTTAAGATAAAATTTTATGGGACGGAATTAAGCGGGCTACTATCAGAAAATGTAGTCCATGCATTTTTATGATCGAGATATGAAAATATTATTCACTGTAGTTTCTATCTAACAGATCTTAGACATTTTTAATATTAACAAAATTCGAAGATTCATACATATGTATAAATTAGCGATTTGTTCAAAGAATGTTGGAAATTCAAAATGTTAATTTCAAATTTTCGTGATACGTAAACTTTTTAGAGAGTGTTCATTTTAAATAATGAATGGAAATTTGGAAATTATTCGTTTTGAGGTTAAAAGATATTAAACTGTTTGTTGTTAACAGCCATGTGCCTACGTATTTTAAATTACAAAATAAAATACTATCGTATAGTTTTTTATATCTGTGAGAATAGAATAGTTTCTTCTAGTCTTGTATAGATTGTTGGTGAAATAGGACATTATTGTCCTTTGTTCGCCCTTCACTTGTGTGAATTCAGTAATGAGCGCTGTTAACAATACAATAAATACGTGTAAAGCCATAATTCCTTCGAAATATTTCAAGAGGTTTTACTGATCAAAGAAAAAGAAATGTTTCTAACGTTTCTTTTTCAATAATTTTACCGTTGACCTTACGATTGTTCGATAGCAATCAAAAGTTGAAGCTTTTAAGAATGTTCTGTTACGTTTTCAACAAAATTGATAATTACTACAAGTTTGCGGGAGCCACCTTACTTATATTCGATTCCAACCTCTTTCGTCTGGATTCGAGTCTACTTAAAACTATCGCTTTCCTTCCTCAAAGTATTTATGAAACGTTCGAAACTATCCAATTAGGTACGAACCTACTTGTAATATACTTTATCTCATCTCGACTCGTCATTACGGTAAAGTAAATCCGGCAAAAAGAAAAAGCAACGTAAGGGTACAAGAGAAATTACAAGAAACTCGTCGAATGATTCTCGTTAAATTTCTACGCGTTAAGTGTTGCGAGCTCGAGCAAAACCGTGTGCAAGAGCTGCGTTGAATGGGTGGTCAAAAACGGCCGTGGAAGCAAAGAAGAGCACGGCACGGTGGCGGCGACGTTTCCACGGGGGTAGGTCGGTATGTCTGCGTGGGTAATTACTACATTATAACCCAGATACGCGCAGCGGTTACCCATAGCCTGCGATGCCGTTACCCAGTGCTCTGACCCAGAGCTAAGGGCGACTCCGAGAACCCGGTCGATGCCTGGAAATGGTGTGCGCCGCGGTGTTTCGATCCGGCTCATCCACGTCTACTACGAAGTAACGTTTTACCGTCCGGGGGCCTTCACCGTGCGCGCGCGCGGAATCGGTCTTACAAGATTGCGCGCAAAAATTGCACACGAAACTACCGGTTCCACCGATCCAACCTTCTTCCCACCCTGGATTTTTGAGGACCAACGCCACTTTAATTCGTTCCTTACTTTTTTTTTTTCACCTTTCTTTCTCTCTCCATACGAACCGGCATTCATTCTTCGGGACCACCGGGGGGGGGGGGAACTTGAAATATTTGTGCCGTCGATGAAGATTGTTAGATTAATATCGTATTTTCTTGTCCCTTCGATCGCGTATCTCGAGGATTTCGCCACACTTTTTAAAATGTCCGTAACCTTTTTTTTTTTCATTTTGTTTCGAGACACTTCGCGGCGTAACTTTTACTTTTTTGTCAACCATGAATGAGGTTTGTGGTCTCGGTGCGACATAGAGGTCAAACGTTTTCGTTCTGGAGGAATTCCGTTTTTTTTTCTGGTCGTTAACGTACTTTCAAAGGAACGATACATTGAGTTATCTCGCTTGCTTTTTGCTTATTTGTTAACTTGAGATCGTTGTCGGTTGATTTGAAAAAAATTTAACTTTAATGTATTATGCTGCAATGTTATTGCAATGGCGGAGTGTTAGTAGTGATTATTCAATTTCTCATCAGTAGTTTCTGGCAATTAACGTATTTCTTTGGATTAACGAAATTTCTTCATTTCCATTATATTTATGCACAACGGACTTATCTATCTTTCTTTGCAATCTCTGACAATTGACAAACGATCATAAAGTTACCATTACATATTTGTAATGACTTTTACGTGCATTTTACTATGATTTTTAAATTTACTTGATCTCCAAATACTGATTTTTTTCGCCAGTTTCTAAATCCAGTTCAAATGACTAATCAATTTTCAATCAGTAAATTTAAAGAAAGTATTAACAAATTCATTGATAAACAGGTATTTGCCCTTTTTGGTTAGTGAAATTTAGTAAGGTTCAACGAGTCAGTATAATATTTTGACAAATTGTGGTGTATACATTTCTGTTTTACTAAAACAAAGGTTTGTCTTGTCGAGAATTTATCGAAAATTAGTCTAACAATTAACGTCTCAATACAGCGTATAATAATTGAAAACGAAAAGCATATGAAATTCGTTAGTACCATTCTAGCACAGATAATATTTCCTGCGCGGAGAATTTTATTTCCCGAAGTACGCTAAAAAGACAGTATTCTACCAATTCTCCGTGTACACTGTCTGGAAAGAACACCTGTACACGTTTAACGATCATCGCGAATCATAATCGGAAAATCACATCAAGCGCAGACATAACGTACGTAAGTCTCTATTAGAATAATAATCATTCCCCGATACGTGATTCATTCTTCGCGGGCAACGATCCGTTCCGTTCCCGTAAAAATTATTTTACGGTCAATTCATAAGAGCCATCCAGACGGGTAGAAAACGAGACGCGATAGTTCTTGCGGACGCTCGAACAGGTGAATGGAGGAAGCGATAGGATGAATGAAATACCTTCTAAGATGAGAGAAGCTGTCCGAGATACGAGACTGCTCGGAGCGGAGGATAATTATTACTCTTCCTTACTATAATTTTCCCTTTTTGCCGAATGCTTTCAACGCGCGCGATATTAATCTTCGTGGGGGGGGGGGAGGCCGGGTTTTGCGCGGGAAAATGAATCACGTGATTACTGTTACGAGCGCGGCCAAAGATAACGTTATTATCGTAACCTGACACACGATTAAGCGATTACATTTACCCGATGGAAATCTTCCGGCAGGGATTCGGATCCTTGAGCGACACGGTGTCTGTTCCCGAAATGAGAACAAGATACATACACGTTTAATGCAAACCGTCGCTGTGCACGGTTTCTCTCTGAAGGACGGTCATCGTCTTTTCCAGTCGGCTGCGCGCGCGCGCACGCAGCGCCGTCATCGAAATCCATCATGAGTTCGTTCACAGGTGACCCAGTAAGCTTTCGTCGAATTATGGAACACGCGTTGGCTGGAAAGCCGCGGCGGCGACGACGAGATAAGCAGATGTCGGGGGGAATCGGTGGAGGGCAGGCAGACGCGGAAAACCGAACCATGTGTGTGTGTAGTATGTATGTATGGATGATGTATGTGTGTACATATACCGAAGCGCTGGGGCTGACCGATTGACCTGCGGCTAAAGACACGGGTGGTCCGTTATGCCCCAGGGTCACGCGTGACGCAATCAACGACTACGCCGGGTGAACAGGGCCCCCGGTGCTCCTATTCCGTCCGTTTGGACCGCCCCTCCTCGACTCTCCGGACCCCGTCATTCGTCGAACAGTCGGAACGGGTTTTGTTGATCGGACACTGTTGTCTCCCGTATTGGCCATCAGGAATGCGTACGACTCCGAGATAGCTATTTGAGCGCGGATCTTTGGTCTGCGCCGAGAGAGGCGAGAGATGAAAAATTGCGTCTCTTCGTATCTCTTAGCGGGAACCGATGGACCTCTGCAGCATACAGTACCGCTCAAAAGTATTGGGTAATTCTACAGTTTAGCGGCTTTTCTCAATTTTAACTATTTCCCTGCGGTTTTTTTTAAGGTGGCTCCCGTAAATTTTTAATTATTATAAATTTAGTTGAAAATTTAATGGAACGTTCTTAAAAGCTTCAACTTTCGATTGCTACCAAAAAATTGCAATGTCAACGATAATTATTGAATAAGAAACGTTAGAAAAATGTCTTATGGAACTGTAGTTGATACTCAGAAGTTAATCACTTTTTATTCAGTTACAAAAAATGACATTTTTATGAAATATTAGGTGGTTATAGATTCTGTTACGGAGATCACGATGACATGGAAAAAAGATGTGTTAAGGAGTCATGCTCAGTGAAAAATTTTCAAAAAATCGATTTTGCACTTTCTACATTTTCTTTAAGTGCAACATCTCGAGAATATTCTGTGCAAGTTTCAAGGTAATCCAATTAAAAATGACAGTTCATGTTAGCACCGATTTAGCTTTCGAGATATTTATAGCTAAAATTGAGGAAAGTCGCCAAACTGGACAATTATCACGTATTAGTATAGAAAAATACGAAGAAGTTTCTATCGAATACACTATCGGTCGTTTTGTTTCTTCTTGATGATAGTCCACACACTGTTCTTCGATATCTTTAGTTTGTTTGCAATATCACTGATCATGAACAGCTTTCCACAAACAACACACACGCTGCGGAACACGTTGTTCAATTTAAATCACTGCAATTTTCGGTACTTTTAGCACGTTAGAGCGAATGTTGTTTCGTTAAGGGACGAACAAGAAATGATTAAGAGAAAGGTGAATTTCGTATTTATAAGACTTATGGTAGGGGCATGGTCTTAAAGAAACAATAACACGGAAAACATTTCTCTAACATGTTATAGTTTATAATATATTTTTTTTTGAGCAAACTTTCATAGAAGTCACAAAACCCTGTTCCTAAATAATATATGTATACCATCGGCTAAAGGCTATAAACTAGGATACCTGAATGTAAACACTGCCATAAATTCCAAATGTCATATCGTTTGAATAATTCTGAGCGGTACCGTATATTCTTGTAGCGGCTACAGTCTTCCTACATTAGGAGCTTGAAAAAAAGTCGATTCTACGTTTGTATTCTCTGAAAGTACATATCGCATCGCCGCAAGAAAAATGTCACAAGTCGAAAATATGTCATTTTTCAGTATATTGAAAAGAAACTGATTCATTACTTGGTATTTCATGTATTAACCCTTTTAGTGCCGAATAACGATATAACGTCGTTGGCTATATTTGCGAACAGTTCCAACGACAGTATATCGTTGTGCGTAAGTGCGCATCCCCTTGATAATGATAAGTGTTAAATTGTTGGATGCATTTAATAGTTCAAAACTAGTTTATATTTCTACTGTTGCTGTCACATTACGTTAACCCAATTATATAACATTATAAAATATACATATACACGAATCATTTGCTTTGTATGTAGAGTTATTATTTATTTATCTGTTGAAATACGTGCAATACTATTATAAATAATCGAATATACGTTGTTTAAGTTTTATATTAAATGTTTCACGTCAAACTATTTCAGAGAGACGATGTCTTTTATTTGTAAATACTGTTTATAAATGATGACCAACATTTGGAATTTCAATTTTTAATTTTTAACATATATCGAAGTACTTTAGTCATTAATTCATTTTCGCTTTATTCCTTAGCATGTTCCTTTTCAAATTTTGTAATTATCATTTGAAACTAAATTTTTATAATTTTTTTCTCAAAGCTTACCAAACTAAGACTTGGCACATCAGTTTGGCTCGGCACTTCTCGCTCAGGTTTAACATTTTCGGTCGACACCAAAAGGGCCAAACAAAGTTACACTGGTGACATCTCGCTTGAAGTATTGGACGTCCACTTATAACATGTCTCTAGATGGTGGATCTACGTGTTCGAAAATATTTCACGTTATAAGATGAAAATTGACAATTTTTTACACGTGATACTTTCTTCGCGGGGGTGCGATACGTAGTGTCTACAATATTAATTGTGGGGACAGATGTCAAATATAACTGTGCATGGGGGTGATTCACCGGGCATAAAAAAGTCGATAATATCGAATGAATTTCTCCGTCCGAAGCTTTGTTTCCAAGAGAATTGAATTTGAAAGTCTAATGCCAAACAGTGTCAGAAGGTGAGCAATGACCAGACATGTTAGCCTAGTCTTATTAAGTAGCACACGGCCTAAGAAATTATCGAAGTCACCGTTCTGGAAAAGATTTTTCCAATTTCCAAGAATTTCTTCTCGAACGAGTAAATAGTGGCAAGATTTATCGCTACTTTTACTACAATATGGTAAATAATCGTTTAAATCACTGGTTCAATAATTTATAATTTGGAAGATACGAAATCGAAACGCAGGATGAAGTTTAAGGCAAGCATTTTTTGCTTCGCACGGGTCCAGCCTGTTCTGTCGTTAGCACGTCGAGTTTACGGTAATTCTTTCGTCGGGACCGTACGGAGTGAATTCACGGATCGTTACACGATAATTTAGGGGAGTGCGGTATGTACGGGGCCATTCGATGATTGCGGTTGTGGGCTCGTCCGGTATAAAGGAGGCCCCCGTTTTTAAAGAACTCGCGCCTCTGCAAATTATGCGGCCTGACAACGTCAATCTACTTTCACGCTTCCCCACCGTTTATCCCCATTCCTCCTTTATTTCATCGCCTATTTTGCAGGGGAATACAATTCTTGATCACGACAAACGTTTGGTTTTTGTGTGTTTTTACAGCTGGCTCGAGCGGAGGATGTGGAGGTGGTCGAAGCGATACCAGGCGACGACAATCGTAACGACAATTCAGCGTTGAACCGACAGGATAACGACATCAGCACCTCCGACCAATTGGCGTTAGAATCGTTAGGCGAGAAAGACGCCGGGAGCAACCATTACAAACCGGGTGGTCTCCGTGGACATCCCCTACCCCTGCCGCCGAGTCGTGGCGGTCTGGGACTTCCACATCCGAGACCGCATCATAATGTTGCATATCATGGGCCACCGCCGCCATTGCCGCCCTCGAAGACACCATCGGAGGCTATTGACAAGATCTACACAACGGGTGGTGGAATCAGCTCGGCGGTTGGCGGGGAACCCTGGCCGGCACCCACCCCAGACATGCCCAAAATCATCTCGTTGGACGTGAAGTGCGAGAAGAATTTGATGAAAGTCTATCTGGGCTTCGACAAACCGTTCTACGGTATAGTGTTCAGCAAAGGCCATTACAGCAACGTGAACTGCGTGCACCTACCGGCGGGTTTAGGGCGTACGTCGGTTAATTTCGAGATTAGCATTCATGCATGCGGCACAGCTGGCAACACGGAGAACGGTTTGTACGGGTACGGCGCCGAATCCGGGTCGGGTACGTACTTCGAGAATATAATCGTGGTGCAATACGATCCGCAAGTTCAAGAGGTTTGGGACCAAGCGCGCAAGCTGCGTTGCACTTGGCACGATCTGTACGAGAAATCAGTTACGTTCCGTCCGTTCCCGGTCGACATGCTGGACGTGGTGCGCGCGGACTTCGCCGGCGATAACGTCGGCTGTTGGATGCAAATACAGGTCGGCAAGGGTCCGTGGGCGTCCGAGGTCTCCGGGTTGGTCAAGATCGGTCAGACGATGACGATGGTGCTAGCTATAAAGGACGACGACTCTAAATTCGATATGCTCGTGCGGAACTGTATGGCACACGATGGGAAACGGGCGCCGATACAGCTGGTCGATCAGAGAGGTTGCATTACAAGGCCTAAGTTGATGTCACGGTTCACTAAGATCAAAAACTTCGGCGCATCGGCGTCGGTACTCTCCTACGCTCATTTCCAGGCATTCAAATTCCCCGACTCGATGGAGGTGCATTTCCAATGCACCATACAGATCTGCCGATATCAGTGTCCTGAACAGTGCTCCGAGTCACCTTTGTTGTTGGAGTCCCAGGGACTGTTGGAGAATCATCATCATTCCCCGTCTAATGGCCATCCTGATTCCGGCTACGGTATTCCGCTTCCATTGGAGGCGTATCTACAGGCAGCAGCTGGACGTCCGCGGGACGAAAGGCGAAGGAAATCACGAGAAATAGTACCGACACCTCAGAAGGCGGTTGGAGTCAATCGAATAATACGCGTGGTCTCGACCGGTGACTTGACGTTTTCCATCGACGAGTCGAACAATGGGGAGTCCAATGGGCCCACGATGGTGTTCCCGGTCCGTAACGAGAACACTGCGAGTTCAGCGATGATCTGTATGACTACACCCGGTTTCGCTATTACACTGATAGTGCTCCTGGCCGTGTTACTGTCCTCGTGTATACTGTCCACCTACCTCTGTCTACGGTTAAGACCATTCTCTGGAAAAGCTCGGAAGGTCGCGACCTATTACACCGGGGAACAAAACGCCCCAAAAAAATCGTCGAGGACGTGCTTTTATTCATAGATGCAAGAGGATTGTGGCATTCGAAAAATGAGGCAATGTTGCCCGATCGTATCACGCTTGCGCGTGAAATATAATTTTTCATCAACCTAGTTTCATCCTCGAGACTGGTTTGACGGCTCGCGGGTAGAATTAAACTATTCGCCGATGGAAATATGAATGATAAATCGCGCTTCAACGTGGAACCGTTCATTCATTCGCGCCGAAAGTAGATGAAATAAAAAACCAAACTTCGGATACAGAGTTGCTCAATGACGGTCGCCAGGTTCCGGATTAGTAATAAAGTAGAGACGAGATCTGGCGACCCCGGTTTTTATTTCGTGCTTATTTTCGGATCATCGGGATCGTGTCGAAATGTTTTTTTTTTTTTACGCTGTATTCAATGAATTCTTGCGGCAAACCGGTCCTCCTGGTCGGCACATTCCAGGTATTGTAGAGGCTACAGAATGTCGCAAGCACGATTCTGTATAGCAGCACGTACCAGGCTCAGAGTATAGCCCCGTAATAAAATAAATAGGATACTCTCTGGCTACGTGTACCGCATCTGTTCGGGCCAAGAACGATCAAACAGTATATGGATTTGTGCTTCGTCATGGTAATACGAGAAAAAAAAAATCTTACGCTCAAACCGTTGCGAGGCGGCTGTGCACAGTCACCAGAGAAAAGAAAAAGATTTAGTCAAAGATAATCAAACACTGCGCTTGCGGCTTCCTTGTTACTATTATCCAGGGGACAAATGGTATTTGGGTGTACACGTATATATTTCTTTTTAACTGTTACCCGTTGCGTATGAATAAATATGTGACTCGGTTACGACTAAGGCTGAAATATTGCGAGACAATAGTCTTACATTATTATTTAAAGAGAAACGTTTCTGTTCGACATATTGTTGCCAATATCGTCGTTGTATTGTTATTTATTTGTTGCCTAGAATGTTTGATATCATCTCAGCTTTATACAATGTATCTTGTGTAAGTAATCACCATGAAATTATTAAAGGAATTATGTGCGTTTAGCCGTAGTCGTTTTTGAACTGTATGAGAAAGTTTGTAATTCTGATGAAAAGAACTAATAACTAAAAATAGAAGCACGCGGATATTATGAGGAATAAACGGAATGGCTACTTAAAAAATACAACGCAAGACATTACGAGCACATGTATAAAGCAATAGTCAGTAGCTTGTAATGGCATATAAAAATTTATAATATAATATTTAATGTTAACGTAAGCAAGTAGATATACGAAACCTTTATAAATTATTTCTCATCGTGGTAATGTATGTTTTGTAAGAACGTTAGCGTTTAAACTTTTACACGTCGAATCGTTATTAGTGATTGTACTTGCCATTTTTATTCTACGATGACTCCGATGGTCACGAAGTCGTAGAAGACTAGGAAAATTTGGAAAATTCAAATGAAACAGATCGAAACGTTATATACTTCAGGAACAACACAGGAAGAAAGTAAACTCCGCCGGGTCGGCGGAAACCGGATAAGGTGCTGTAAATACATTTATTGGCATTATCATTGATTTACGTTAAATAAAAAAAACACAATCTTTCGATTAACAAATCGACTTAACTTTTTGTTCCTATCGCTCGAAACAGCACCGGTCCAATACCACGTGTCCTCGCGCTCGTGATCGTAGGTCGTCGCTCTCGATTACAAAATCCGCCTTCCCCCAATCCCCCCTCCCAGTCTCGCAACAATATATTTTTTTACACGTGTAATTACATATCTAAGAAATGATCTAACACGCTAAAACTTGGCGTATCGCAAAAAGGATCGGGACGAGTGAGTAAACGAACGAATATTTATCCGAACCATTGCGTCGCTGATTAATTCGTCTCTTCCTTCCTGCATTAGGAGAAGACATACAACTGTTCCTTTTTTTATTACAAAGACGGAATATAATGTAAATAAAAGGGAATCCAAGGAAGCTTCGTTCTCCTGTACAAACAGCTTCTACCCCCGCTTTGATCCTATATTTGCAGCAGCGCTCCAAAGTGTTAAGCCCTTTCTGCGACAATGACCTTCAGATATACGCTTCTCTCACTTATATTTATAATTACGTATACGCGGTATTTCAGGATCAGTAGATTATGGTCCATGGTAATAAACCAAACGTCTTCCTGGACGTTCCATTGACACGCGTGTACACGCGTTCGGGGATTTTTAAATAATTCTTCCTACGCTCTAGTCGCCCGATTCAAAAGGTCCGCGAGAAGCAAATCGATCATCAATCGACTCTGACCGTTAACCTTCGGTTGGCACTTGTGGGGACAAAAGACTATAAAACGAAAGGGACGAAGAATTATAACGTAACACGTAGACTTCGCGAATATTTAAGGATAAATGAAACTTGGTATTTTCGAAATAATGTATTCCTATAGCTACTGTAATTATCGTTATAACGTGTCAACGGAAGGTTAAAATGCATCTAGGTGTCCACTAAATATATATCGAATTCTCGTATTATTCTAATGTAGAGATATATATATAATTGAAAACGTAAAATGTTAGAGCTTTGCAGCAAATACCTGCTGAATTCTCTCGAAAATATTTACGATTTCCTGCCTAGCCTCGGTTAGATGTTACTACATTCAGCCTCTTTGGGGCTAGTTCTAGAGGTGCTGTTACTTCGACGTAATTATTAGCAGTTGACGCGACTGTTGATCCAAGTTCTGAATGTGATGCAATTTGGGTGTGCCATTGACCGATTGCAGTACAAACAGAAACAGTGTTCTACTTGACGGACATTCTGCGTCAGTCTTGCAGTTTGTGGAATCATTTTAATGTTGTGGCGATGATGGAATGAAATTTCGTATTGCTACAATTTAAATACGATCGTACATTTCTTATTAGTAATTATGTCAGCATTGTAATTTCTTACTTTTCGATAATAAAAGAGACATTTTAACACTCGAAAATTCAAAGTTAATGATTATTAAAAAATATGATGAACCTTTCGTTCGATGATAAATACGAAAATCTTTAATTCGAAGGATATTTTGCATAAAAGTTTGATAAATATAAATTATAATTTCTTTGTACTAATTTCTAATTTCGTTTGTTTGCAAAGTGTTATAGTTCGACAAGTTAGAAAAGATCCCTAAGTGATGCGTGATCACACAAAGATAATTAATTTTACTGTATCCCCTTCTTGTAATCACGCATTATCAAGCTCCTTATATAACCATCGTCATCATATCTTGGAGCTTTCGTTCCATTTCACTCGCTCATCTGTATTCTTCTATTTTCTTCGTCTCTCCATTTACAACGCAGAAGCGAGTCCCTAACCAATAAAATAGTCCCAAAATGGCCTCCAATGGTCCGCATAACCGCGTTCCGTGAACTGAAAGGTTCGATCATACGGGAGAGAACTGTATTCTTTTAAATTTCTAGGGTGCCATAGTAATGATAAACGTTACTATTTAATGCAAAACATGGGTCCTCTATTTCAAATAGTTCTGAAAATTTTAAATACTGAAGATCGAACTGAGTCAGTGAGTACGCTTCGTAGGAGACTGGGCTGCGCTGAACGTCTTCGTCCCTTCTAACTTGTGAGACTATAAGTGTATACCCATAGCAGCATCCCTAGTAAATCAATCATTAAATATGTATAAGGCTACAAGTTATATAGATGACTTACATACAGAAAATAGAGTCCCGTAAATCGCAATAGTTTACACACGTGCTGGTGATTGCGAAAGTAGTCTAAGTCGTATATTTTTTTAAATACATTTTATATATACCTTTTATATAGAAAGTAATAAATTCTCAAGATTTGTCACTTAGGCCTCTTTCATAATTACTCGCACATACATTATATTCTACGAATTCAAGGATCGCGTTCCCGTTCGGTTTTAAATTATCTAAGGAAACCGATGCGCGTTCGTCGAAAGCAACGTCATTCCGCTCCCGCCATTTTCGGCTCGATCAGTGGAACTGTCGAGCAAAGAAACACAGTTTCCAACAATGTCATTCGCGATCTCAAGGACGAACAGACATCTTTACAAACATTCGCGGCGTGTTCGCTGTTATACTGTCCCCCTCGATCTCTCACGGAATTTTATTAATTTAACCTACATAACAAATATCCTCCGAAAGTATACCGCTTACTTACCCAATACCAACAGTTTACTCGTCAAAAACAAAACATCGTTCGTGTTATCATTTCGTTTTTGAGTCGATCAGAAAAAGAAACACCCTCATTTAAACACCTATTAAAATAATTAGTCTCTAGAAGAAGTTCATTTTCAACCGCACCGTTTCAACATTCTCTCGCTCACTCTCTCCCTCCCTTTCTCTCGTGCTCTCTCTCTCTCTCTCTCTCTAGAAGGAAATATCGAAGGATCATCAACGGTACAACAACAGTCCGATAAGAGAACTCTACCCGGCGCGCGATATTACGCACTTAAAGTAATTTGTACAGCATATTATTGCACATTGTCTCTCTCTCTCTCTCTCTCTTTCGAGGGGGCGAATGTGTACGCGGGGCTCTTTCCACTACTCAACAAGCACAAGAACGGTCATCTGGGAACGACGGTGGTCAACCCCTTTCGACCGTGGGACTCGTGGTGACCGTTGTTGTTTGTTTTGGTTGAATCTGTTCCGGATGGGCCGGCTGCGGCGGTCTTGCCGTGCATCGTACGCGCAGCAAACCGTACGGTAGCCAACCGTTGGTCGTGTGCACCGCTCTATTGTTCTTTCGGTTGTCCACCGCTTCACGTTGCGCCTGTAGCCGATGCAGCATCGCGCCGGCGACCAACGCGGAGATCACCGCGGACAGTGCCACCACGATGAACAGCGCGCTGAATCCAGGCATCGGCAGACAGATACCGTAAACCACCTCCTCGCGTATTCTACCTTGGAAGACCGTCACCGCTTCCGCGTGTGTGTCCGGGCTAAAGGCCAGATCCGCCTCGGAGATCACCTCGTATAGACCGCTCACACCTACGTCCGCGCTACGGATCTTCCTATCGGACACTACGACCGACCTCTTTCGTCTGCCGTTCGGAGACGAGAGAGGTGTCACCGGCATCGCGACGTTGTCACCCTCGAGGTTACGGGGACCATGCGGGAATTGATCCTGATCGCTCTCGTATCGCGTCACCCTCGGTGGATCCTGCAAGCAAACGGTCGGAAGTTTCAAGGGCGGATCGATTAACGTTCGTCGCGCTAGATATAGCGATACGAATGAAACAGGAAAAGTAATTATAGCCCGTTTAACCTTTTAGGTACTGAAAAGACATTGTAAGTGGGCGTCATTATACAGTAAATTTTTTATTAGTGATCGTAGGCTCTTCGGCACTGACAAGGAGACGTTCCCAGGTGTAATTTTTAATGATGTTTAGCATATAGCTTGGAATTTTGAAGCCAATGATATTTATTTCAGTCGCATATATCTATTAGTTTATGAAATATTTAATGTTCAGTGCCGAGGAACCATCGAACACTCGTCGAGGATTTACTGCAGTGGCTTCTCGTATTTTTCTACCTCTGGATTCTAGATAATTGAATTACACAACTAACATCAATTTGAAATCTTAATATACTGGGTTTTACACAACTTTTCGACCAAAAAAAACATCGAACCGAATCTACATAAAACAAATCGAAATAGTGGTAACTTTTTTGTCCGTTACTATACATGGGACTATTTGTTTTAAATATATGGTTTAAAAAATATACATATGAATACTATTAAAAAATGTATGAGTTAAGTATATTTACTAAAAATGGTCTCGAGAGATCGCCATCATCCGAATGAATCTCTTCGTCCTGTGTCTCGACCACCGGCGCTGGTAGCCGGTTGCTCGTCTGCGCCTGTGCCTTCGGTACAGACTTCTCGACTCCCAAGAAGTGACCCCCTATAGAGGTCATCTCGTCACCATCTTGAATGATATCGTCGTAAAGGGAGCCATCAGGTTGCTCGGCGGCCTCTCCTCCCACATTCTCGTTGTCCTTCTCGGCGCTGTTATTGTCGTCACTGTGAATGGTGGGCGGCGCTGTGGTCTGCGAGTATTGCGGTCGTATCTGATCCTTCCGTTCTTGAATGTAATGGCCAACAGACCCACTGAGTTGACAATGATCCAAACAGCCGTGACGACAGATCTCCACCTTGACATTGATCGAAACAACTTTAACATCTCTGTTCCTCCTAGTCATCGTTTCGTCAATATTTTTTTTTCGCACACGAATTCGCATAACAAATACCAGAGTGGTTTAACATTTTTTTTTTTGCTTCCGAATAAATTTACCAAAACCATTCGGTCAGGTGTTTAACAGTCAAACATTTGCGTTTTACATTCACGACAGACAGTCTCGATCGTTAAACACGTTACATTATTACGGACTTTTTATCCAGCAGTTAATTCTCGTCTCGATCGAGACACAAATTTCGATCCACTCGGACGTTGTTTACCTTGCACTTGATGTGTACGCTCAACGCGTCCGGGAACTTGAACGCGTGGAAGAACGCGTACGTGATGACGGTCGCCCGATCGTCGGAGCCCCGCGCCTTTAGGAACCGACTGATCATCTTCGGCCTCAGCACGCATCCGAACTCGTCGCTCAGCTGTATCGTGTGTCCGCCGCCGTCCGAGGCTACGCACGACTTGACACGCATGTCGAACTCACCTGCACCGAGGAAACTTACTTAACAAGGGAACTTACCAACAAGGAAAAGGCTCTAACTTTGAGTTATCGGTATCAATGAAACGCTTAGGGTATGTAGGCTTCTAAACTTCACAAATCATCCCCCTCCCCCCCCCACATAAGAGTAGATACTTAAAACTTTTCGACTTCTTTGCTTTTCAAGTTTTCCACGTGTTATGTGTCAAGTTGTCAAGGTTCCTTATGTTATGCAAAAGGTTGTAGCGTCGAGATAAATAAAGCAACGTTCATGGTTTCTATCGCGATGACCAGAGTTCAAAGACGTCCCTTCCAAAAAATTATTACTTAAGAACCCTAGTTATCACGGTAGAAATCATGGATATGGCACTGAGACACGGAAAACTTCGATAGTAAATAACTAAAAAACTTTCGAGTAACTGCCCCTAATATGAGGGAGTTGTATGCTTTGTAAAAAGGAAGATGTCTACTACATCTCCCAAAAGTTTCGGTACAATTGGCGACCCGGTCTTTCCTTGTTAGCGCTCGATTCCTTGGCCGATTGTTCACGCGAAGTTCGGCGACACATCTACGAAATATCCGTTGCTAGTTTACCTCTATAATCGTTAATAGCGACGACCAGGGTGAGAGTCGAGCCCAATGGTACGATCCCGGAGACCGGTGGCGCCCATGGTCCCTTGCCGTGTTGAATTTCCATCCAACAATCGACGTTGTCGCCTGCAATATCAATAGACTAGCACGCTTGTGTTTGCGCTTTAAAGGTAGGCGGGTCCGGCGCGGCGGTCGCTTTCTAGGCACGGCGTGCCAGGTGCAATTTATACATGTTGCATAAATTGATATTAAGTGGCGTGGCTGCGGTTCCACCTGTGGTCAACCGCGAGTGCACGAGTTACCGCGTACGGTCCCATCATTTACCTCGTATTAAACTCTTTTCACCGGGCGGGGGGGATCATCGTTTCTCCTATCCGCTACGTGTCCGTAGGCTTGTACACGGTAAAATGTGGCTGACGTAAAACTGCCCAGGCGCAGATTCAACTTCCACTTACGTTGCAATTGCTCTAGCCGTGTGTCAATGGATTTGCGGTACAGTTTAAGACCCGAGAAGGCTTTTACAATACCTAATTTAGAGGCTTCAATTCTATGTGCACTTGAGTGTTTTTATAGACAGTATTTGAAACAATTAGAGGATCAGATAGGTTTTGTAGTCGCTGTACTTGTAAATACGACGTTTAATATTTGAAAAGTTTTTCTGTACAAATGTTACTATTATCCGTTTAACGAGACGAGTCAGTAAAAATAACCAAAAAGTCCTTATCCAGCTACTGGCTGGCAACTGTCTATGTCCTTGTCCCACTTAAATAGTCATCACCTATCTTAGTTTATAGTTACTGACCCAATTCGTTGGATAAAATATAGGTGTTAGTAGGGTCAGTATCGAACGGAAAAAATATCAATTTCTCGAACCTATAGCACTTGTTTTGTTTCTTTTGCTTGGTGTGCGCAACAAGACCGTCCCTATTAGCAATCCTCTAAGTCCTTTGAGTTATTTGAAGGTTTTTTTTTACGTTTTCAAGTGAATTGTATGTGTTATATACGAGAGTTAAGAAAAATTTAGAAATTGTACCTCTGAAATCTAATTGTATTACGTCGAGATCAGCGATGACCATTGGTGGTTTAGAGGCAGTTTTCTCGTAATCGTTGAACCATTCGCATCGTAATCGCTTGGCCTCATCCCAGACCTCCAGCAGATCTTTGTCGTACTGAACGACAACGGTATTCTCGTAGAACTGTCCGTGCATGTCAGGCTTGGTACCACATCTACGGGGAAACGAAGTTTAGTTTTTAGATTAGCTTATCGGTTCCGTTTAAGTACCGAATGGGGTCAAACTTGTGGCACAACCGGCCGGTGGATGTTTCTTCATGAAACAACGAATTGAAAGGTTAGAATAATATTTTTGTAAGCGTAACTTCGCTTTTGAGGAAAATAACTATGAAAATTTTGTTGGGTACGCTTGCTATTTAATCAAACTCTGTTAATGTGTCTGTTCATTACTTACTGTTTCTACTTATTCTACTTGTAAACGTGATTGCATGCTTGTACAATTAATTTTCACAGTTTATTTTCTTGCAAACAAAACCATGGACGAAAACTTATTCTATTCAAAAATCACTTTGGCTCATATGTACCATATGTTTGGCCACCTTCTATGTACATATTATGTACATAGGTCAATACAATTTATGTATTACCGATTTTTGTTTTCGATAATACTAACGTTTTCTCAATTGGTAAACTGTGATATCTTTGTATATTGTTTTGCGTATTAGTAATATCTGTTTCTAAATTGTATTTCTAACTTCTTAATTAAATCCTGGGGTTATCAAAATTTTAATCATAGAATCTGATTTTTCAGGATTCGTTTATTTACATTTTATAAAAAAAAAGAATTAAGACATAGTAACATTCTCTAGGTAGCAATAGTTTTAATATACTTTGAAAAATGTTGAAAACAGAGATTACTTTGAAATGGTACTGAATATTCTTCAAAGCTAGAACTGTTTGCAAAATTGGAACATACTGATACTTTGGTAAAATTAATTATTACTACAATATAATTCCTATAGTTGCATAACGTTATGCATTTTTCGTGTAAATGAACAATGAACAATGCCCAATAAAATTTGTTCATACGAGGTTAAATTTTCTGAGAAAACCGGTTTACTGGATTTATTGGATAAGCGTAGAATGGAGGGCTTGGTTAAGACGTCTGTGCAGTATTCACTATTTCTACTTGTGCTAACGTTCAAGCACTTACATACATAAATGTGGGTGTATGATTTATCTTCTTCGCATTCTATTGCTTTTCTTGCTTAATTCTCTGTTTCTATTGAGCACTATACATTCCTATGTAATTGGATATCACAGAAAATAATTTCTTAATCACCCATACACATTCCATAGATAAATCACAGAGATCCTGGAAAAATCTTTATCTATTACTTCATAAAATTTCTTTCCATTTGTTTTGAAACATATATCCATATGTATACATATACAAGTATATCCATACATATACATGATAAGTAGAAATCACAGGTAACAGAAATAGATGTTATTCAAATAATATAAAGAAAAATTAAATTGATTTTTTCTTATAGAAATTTCGCATGAAAAACCTCAATATCATATTTTCGGAATATTTTAATGTTGCTACGGCTCTAAATGTAGATATCAACTGTTTTCAAAAGAAGTTTCGCACATAAAACTTAAAATTTCATTTTTGGAATATTTTAATGCAGCTACTCAAATTAGCTTATTATTATTGCCCTTTAGGTATACATTCGACGTAACGCTGAGAAACAAGAAATTCGCGGTACTGATAACAACTTTTTCTTATAATTATCATATTTTTATAGAAATTTTTAAAGAAATAACAATGCTTGTTAACGAACACTATAGCAGAAATGAAAAGAATAAAAACGTTACTGCGTCAAAAGAAAGATCTGAAGATTGTAACAGGATTTGATGAACTAGCCTTCTTTGAATGTAACACGAACTACATCCTAATTTATCTTACTGCATTAGAAATCGGTTTTAAAGTTTGAAGCACTTCCAAAGATTTATCTCAAGTGCACAAAATATAAACGAAGTACTTTAAACTTTGCTCACTGGTGTACGTTTACACCAGTACTGGCAAACTTGAAGCTTGTGAGCCAAAAAATAAATATTCATCACCAATAAAAGTAACAATAAATTGTCCGTCAGATAACTTCTAGTTAAGCTTCAATCCCTTATCCAATTACACTTTATCTAACATCATAAGTCGGAAACGTTCTGAGGCAAACGCTAAACACTCCAGGCGCAATCGATCTCAGGCATTAGGGTCTCCACGCGTCTTAAATCCTCTCATCTAGTCAAGCTGTAGACAGCCTGCCCATAAAGATGTTCCCGGTAGATAGATACGGTCCGGCGAATCAATGGGAATCTCACGGTCTTACCTCGCGTATGCTATCCGAAAGGAGAAGAAAGTCTGCCCGGTCGAAGGCGGAACGTAAACGCATCGCGGATCAGCGTGCTGGCCCTTGGATGAGACTATCCCCTCAAAGGGTTGGGAGAATGAGAGATGCACGTCCATGTGATCCTTTCCGCACATCACTTCGAGGGACTGTATGGCTGGCATTCCCTCTGGCCTCTCCAGCGGCCAAATGTCGCTGCTGCTACCGACGCTCCTCAAGCCAACCACCTGCGCATTCAACGAGTAACATTTTTCAAACTAGGTGTACTGGATGGCTCTATCGTCCACTCGACGTAGAGTCGTCTCGTGAAATAAGTTAACGATTATCTGTGTTTAACCCTTTGAGTACTGAATTATTTGAAGATTTTTATGCCCATGGGACGGATTTAATTTGTCGCTATATGGATTAATATGTAAAAGTAATAATGAATATAAATGAAACAAAATACAAATATTTATATAGAACAAGAACAACGCCTGCTTCTTAAATTCAGATGACGAGTCAGACTCGTCCACCGTAACTTCGCCCAAGTAAGCAGATGACGAGTCTCACTCGTCAAATGTACCCAAAAGGTTAATATAATGATCCGTCAAGATGCTGCTAAAATAAGTTAAGTCAAAAAAATATCGTCTCAGCAGTATAACGTTTATCATTTTTGCTAAATACAGACAGTTTAGAGGGAGCGTTAATTTATTTAAAAGAATAAATCGAAAAAAAACATGATTTTTTTGGGTGAAGGTCAGTTGAAGGTCAACACTCTTACATCGTTGCATTTGTTCTTTCTTGGATTATAACAATATGGCAACAGAAATGTGTGATCGAAATATGTAAAGAAAATATTGATGATCTAGATATCTCTAAAAAATAGCTTCGGAAGAAATGAATTTCCTGTCAGCGCATTGCGACCATCAAACGGTGCAACTCTGTACCGAAACATACTTTCATAACTTTATGTCCAAGTAGATATTCAGGTATTCCGCTTCTGGGAGACCACCCTGTATACAGGGTGAACCACAAATCGTGGTCAGTAGATATCATTAGATGTGTTCCAATGTACAGAACGAAATGTTTACAAACAGTGGGCAAGAGCTCAACATTGTAATATTACAGTTCGAATATTTTTTAAATCTTTTCTCGACCCAGATGAAAAGGAAAGTAACACATGTTATGTTATAATACTTATCGAATTCGTCTTGAAATCCTCTAACAGATAGGCATACAAAAATTACAGGTGTATTTGCAAAAGATTGAAGGTGACCTTGAAAAATCACGAAAAAAAAAGAGTTGACAAAAAATTTGCTATAATCACGTTAAGGCTCTCTTGAAACCATACTATACCTGATAAAAACATTTTCGATCAGACTGCTATTAACAGAGTAATCTCTACTGATCACGATTCGTGGTTCACCCTGTATACAATTACGTGAAAGTTTCAATTCTGACTACTGAGCCCTACCTTATCTCCAATTCCTCGATTATTTCTGTTACCTATGCGCATATAGGTTATGTCGGGATAATCTGACGCGTATGATACATGATCGAATACGTTTATAGATGCTTGCTTGCGGATCTATCATTAACCAGAGGCCCCTTATTGTAACGTGCCTAGTAGGACTCGACTACAATGGTCCACCAGGACCGAGTACCCAGAAAAATTGTACAGTAGTAGTAGCACCTTGAACTCGACGACCTCTCATCCTTTCCCGTTGACTCACCGTTCGCGAGTACCCGAATACCCGCGTGACTACCGCCTACGAATATTGTACAGCCGCCGAGCGTCCGAAAGTTACGCGCGTAAATCACGAGTTATAGCGGCCGTCACCGGTGGTCAGACCATTGTGTCGAAATTTATTACGAGTTTAGCAACTCTTCGCAGTTTACGTCTGTATCTGCCGGGGAATATTGTGTCCCCGGTGATTTCATTAAACTATCAGGCGTGAAATCGTTGGATGGATGAATATCGGGTACGCGGCACGCCTGGCGAATAGACGTCGAGGGAAGCACGGTAGAAACGCGGGTATTTGCGCGTTCGTGTCACTTCGAGCAAATGTACGGAAATGAACGTGAAAATATGGAGAACGTGAAGTTTTTGGAAGTTTGCTACGACCGGGCAATAGGATGGAGATTTTTGTGACACGTGACCGGACTTGCGCAAATATTTTTCTGAGCCATTGCCGTGTCTAATATATTAGTCAAGAATGAAAAACGAGTGCCAATGCTGTCATAAAAATTGGACAGCTGAAGGAGTTGCAATGACAAACTCGAATTTTAAAATTTACGAAACTTTTATGTTTTGAAAATTTAGCGCGACATATTCTTATTTATTGAAAGTACGTGCAACAAGTAAATATTGTATGATTAATGAAAACATTTTGTTTATAATTTTGTAATCTACTGTAATATACGTATGTGCATTGTGCATAGTGATTTCGGAAAATATTGTATACACATACTTTTTACTTATTGGTATTACCATAATTTTTTATTAAGGTAGTAGTCAGATTAAAAATTGCAAATATCAATTTGCTGAAAAGTAATATGTGTGTACCTACTACTTACTGTTCGCTAATTCTCGATTAATTTTATATAACAAATATTCCTATTAATAATAAATATCATTTATGAGAAAAGAAATACTCTATTTAATATTATAATTATATAATTTACGTAATCATTATTTTAATTTTTTCTTGTTTACGTAAAGTGAAAATCACATAAAGCCACAGATTAATAAGAAAACCTATACCGAAGATATGGATCATTCGGATTACGAATAAAATATTTATATTCCAAAAAAATATTAAATACACGTTCTATGTACTTAACATATAAAGTAAGAATTTAAATGTTTTAATTATGAATGTGATTTACCCATGATGCAAAGTACTTACAACTACACATAAGAAGAACATCGAACTACCATTTTACCAAGTATTAAAATCTTTATTTTAAATTGAAATCATCAAATTAATAGTTTTCTTAAAGCCTTAATCTTTATAAACTATTTGCACCAAAAACTTCAATAACGAGGTATCTGTAAAATAGCGTTATTAATTACATAACGGAATACTTATACATGTACTTAATCCGAATATCGACGTGTCGATATTCTTCGGGGTAAGTCGATGAACTGCAATACTAGAGGCACTTCTCAAAAGCTGATGTGTAATACTGTTACGAAGCAATCACCATAGAACCTATAAGACGGATGAGATCGCGAAAGATTAAAGCGTATCTATAGTCGGCCTGGTCTTACAATCTGCCTGGGATACAATCTGTAAAGTTTCACGGGCAAAGCGTGATGGTATTAAACGCATCTGATTGAGTAAGTGGATGGTAGAGACTGCGGTATAGTTACCTAGATCGGTATAATCGTTATAAAAGTTTTATGAGGTCAGTGACGCTCTGATAATCAAGAAAGACTCTATGTTCATGGACGAGGATCCTGATTATAAAATTTTCGAATCTGTTGCACATCTATCTTTAATTATATCCTTATTGGGAGTGAACAATTTCGTTCTATGTCGACAAAAATAATTATGGGATCAGGAATTTATACATTTTTTAAATAGTATGACCGCTGTTGTTAAGCCTAACACTAATTACAAATATATATTTTTTACACACCTATTTATTTATGGAATGAATCAAAAGTGGACGAGTAAAGGAAAACTGTTCACTTTTTGCGGATTTTCGAAACTCTGTTTCCTAAAGCGCACCATTTTTATAAAAATAATTTTTTGATTAAATCGGTACGTGTTACGGAAAATAATCTCATATAGTTTATAAAAAATTGTTTTCATTTGATTTCGGAGCTGTTGTTCCAAAGTTACACATTTCGCCAGCAACCTATGTTTTTTTGTGAGGCGTGTAGAAGATTAACCGTAATTGTAAAATTAAATTTTTACAAACGCTTATTTTCACAGTGGTGTTCCTCGTGAAACTATTCTTTGTCCAAACTGTCTTATTAAGAAAAAAAGAATTTTTGAGAACTGTGCTTAGAAGAAGAAATTCTTTCTGCAAACTGGTCCAAATATGTAATAAACTTTTTTTATAGGTGGTCACTTCCAACATATTAACAAAAGATAATTTCTTAAACTGAAACATATGACTTCCAAACTTTTGAACGACAGTGTACATGTGAATGGTAGTGGATTTCAAGCTATTTGTGATTTTTGGTAAACCAACCTGTTATCTTAAATTAACAACAAGAAACTTGTACATCGAACATTCTATCGTTCCTCATGTCATTGCGTTAATCCGATCCTTACTTTATGCGTATATTTCTCAAAGGATGCAAACCGTAAAACGTCTTAAGCTCGCCGCGAGAGATACTTAACAACCGCTGTAATAGACGGTCTATCGTTCATTACACGCACCGTTCAATGCATAGGAGGTTCCCTGTCGTGAATCTCGAAGTTATGATCGTGTATACACCTACTACATGCCGCCACTATCATGTAGATCATCCCAAGTCGTGCGCCCAGCCGGCAAGAGGCTGTGTGGCGTAAACGTGTACGCAGAGATCCGACAAAAAAATATTACAGCCTTCCAAGCGTTGCCAATGAGCGAAAAACGAACGTGATGCAAATCACGCGAACAGCTATAGAATATCTCCACCCGTAAGATCTCTTTCCGTGGCTCTATTTCCTGAACAATCTTGTCTATGATGAGACCCATCCGTTTGTATCTGCTATTTCCCGTATCTTTATTTTCAATCGAGGACCGCGGCGGCGTGGCGGCTGCCTTATTACGTTTATTGCAAACGCTCCGGCAATACAGTCGTAAAACAGATTTTTTCGGCGATTGCAATAGGACCATGGGCGTAGTCAGGTGAGCAGGGAGGGGCACTTGCACCCCTTAGAGGGAAAAATGTAACTTTTGAAGCCCTTTTTTGTGCCCTTCACCTCCAGAGAAAAATGGTATATTATATTAACTAATATTTTGTATGTAAAAATAAATGTTAAATATATTTAAGGTAATACAGTAAATCCTCGATGAGTGTTTGAAGGCTTCTCGGGAATGATAAAGACAAGTCCCTAGGTGTAACGCTGACTTTTCGATGAAATTTAGCACAGTGATAGAGCTTGGAATGCGAAAGCCAACGATATTTGTTTCAGCCGCATATGGTCATTAGTTCATGAAATATTTAATGTTCAGTTCTGAGCAGCCTTCGAACACTGATCGAGGATTTATTGTATATTTTAATGGATAACATTTTGATACA